CTCAAAGTTATGCTCAACATGTTGCACGATCGCTAAGCAGGGGCACGTGAATTTTGAAGTTCAATTCTCAAGAATGTTCATGCGTGATGAATTATTGCAGAACTGACCTGAGGTATGATGAGCTGAGAGAACTGGCAAGGATGGCAACAACACTTGAAGAGCACTTTACGTTCTGATAATGTAGCAGACAATAGAACGTGAAGAAACAGTGCGCAATGCTGAGAAGTCCTCAAACAGCGTTTCCTGCCATGGTTGCGTCATTACACGTGTACACAGCATTATGCGACTAGCAACAATTCTCGTAACATGTGCGCAATGTTCAATGTGTGTAGCAAAATGCATGGCCGGCCTGGCAGTTTGCACTGGGTGCGGACACTGCCGCATGCAGCCATTACCAGGCTTATCAGTGGCTGTACATGTACATAGTGTTGTTGCTATTTCCCTGCCAGGTATCCTTGAGCGATAGTAGGGGCGGAGTCTGAACCTAAACTTATGTCGCGTGCCTTTGCTTACCTAGCACAAACATGTACATGTCACTGTGTGTGTGACTGCATGACGGCGGTCAATAGTAATTATTGGCTTGGTCTTACAATTACTGAATTAGGTAAGAACTGCTACATGTATATGCATACCGGTATGTTAGAAACAGACTCTGCACGCTAACATTATCAACGCAGCTGCAATGTACACGACAGTATTGGCATGCATGTACATGTACATGTTCATTGTACAATTATGTGCACATGTACCAAGATTCGTATCCGGGTGAAGTATTACTATGGAACCCAACGTCCGTCCACATAATGTACATGTAGTAGGTGGAGACCTGTTTGGCGGGATCTTGCTGCTAAATCAGATGATGTTCACAACACAAAGGTGATGATGCATTGGGGATTGACCGAAAATCAACACCTTGAAATTGCTGGAATTCAGACGGAATGACACTTGCATTTTTGTTGCCGCACTGAAAGTTAGAGTGTCTTTAGTCGAACCAAAGCAGAAGAAATCTTCTATCCGCTCCTTGACGAGTCAGGTCACTGCATGCATGACGATTTCAGAAACACGACACCTGTCTGGCACGTAGCAACCCAAAACATCACTGCAGGTAAGATGAGAGCGCACCTACAATTCATTGCGAGCGTCAATGCTTTTGAGAACAATCTCATTTGTTCACATGTTGGGATGAAATTGCTCTTTCTGCTCTTGTGCATGTACCGGTACATCGAATAGAGTCATGGCATTGTCAGCTGTGCGTGGTGTAGATCAGATAGACGTTCACAAACTGCTTCTGACAACAATGCTAGAATATTGCGTGTGTTATTTTCCTCTATCTAGTATAGTGCATGCTTCTAGTTCATATTACATGGCTTAAAGATTGTTTTTCCTCCCCGCCACCTGATCTGGGTCCAGAACACGGTTTAGGGATGAAACAAGCAAGTATAGCCTTTGACGCGGCGTGTCAAAAACCAAAACAACCAACAGATGTCAAGCACTTTGGTCCTGCGCCCACAACAGGTGCTTGGCCGGATCATTCTGTGTCGGCAGCAGATGAAAGTGACAGCGCAAGCGGATACCAACAGGCCGCAACGAGCGACGTTCAGTTTTACATCAAGGTAATTGAGTATAATGTTATAGATACTGCCAGGTGACGGAAAGAAAACCATCCGCAAACGAAACAGACGTCTGAAAGCATATCATTACGTTCTATTCCAATGCAAGTGAGACACTCTTTGTCAGCAGCACTGGCACTGAAACACCATGCCTGCCGTCCAAAATGTATTTCACCGCTGCAGTACTAGTCCTTGATTGCTTGTCTGCTAGCCACGGAGCACGAGCTGAAGGTGAAGTGGCTCCCCGAGGGCAAGTTTGCGGACGCAAGCCTCCCCAAGTTTCAAGTCATTGCACGTTAATGAGAACTATGGCGTTCGTGTTTACTTCTTCAGTCGATTAACATGTACATGTACAATGTACATAGAACTGCATTTGCAGCATTCTCTCATAAGCACTACAGGCTACAGGCTACAGTACAAAGGGAAACACAAAAATAGCCGACGTAAATCATCACCGAATCAGATTGAATGTACTCATTTTTGGCGGCTTTACATGAACAATAATTATTATTGTTCAAAGGGGCTCCTTTATACATTGTAGGTGGAAAGCAAACAAAGGTTTTCATACACAGGTGTCAATTAGGCCTTTCTATAATTATGGTCTAAATCCCTAGGGATGTCTCAGAACCAGAGGAAGAGGGATGGATGACATTTTGATGCATTTCAGTGATTCGTTCACACCATTTGCGACCCTGTACGAGAATTTACCTCTAGCGAATATGTATAGGAGACCAGAAAATGCCTCGAAGCGGTCATCCTATCTACTCTCCAAGACTCATTGTTAACCAGAAGCCTGTCAGGGTTTGGGGTTTGGACAGAGTTTCAGGCGGAAACAAAAACTGTTACAACGAAATTCAAAATGTATACATGTAAAGTCACATGTTGCATTCCAGACATCGATGCTTGGGCAGAGAACCATGGTGGAGAGAACCAGGGTGGTGAGGTAAGAGACGCCAAACACCTTGGACCACTTGAGGCAGAATGTTTGGGCACCAGGGTTTAGTTAGTTGCCGTTTCGCAGCCAGTGGGAGGTGCATGCACAAACATACCCTGTGTATCTACATGTACATCCCATGTGCATCCTACATGTACATGTATGTGCGTGTCGATGTGTGTATGTAATTGCGTGTGTGTGTCTGTGCGTGTGCACACGAACTCATGAATCACTTCCAGAACACCATAACCAGGTGTTGTTCGAACTTACATGTACAGGTACATGTACATGTAGTTCGCACCACACGAGGGAGCTTTAACTTAACCATGATCCCGAAGTTTCTAGAAATACTCAACATTACTTTGTGAGGAGTCTAAATCCCACAAACATGCATCCTGTTCTTTGGCGCACTACTAGGAAGAGCTACATGTATACTGCATTACTGGTGTCGAAATCGTGCAAGGATTCCGACCACGGTGACGGATGTTACAAGTACATTGCGAGACAGTCCTTAAACTCTCATCATGATAAAACTGTGTTATTGTGACACGAGAAAGTTCTGCTACTTTGTTACAATTGCCATCACCGCAGGACGCCAGGCGAGGAACAAAGCGGACACCAACGACATACTTTGAAAATGAGAAGAGGTGTAACAGTTTGCAACTGCTGAGCAAACACAGTATAGATTGTACTCACGACCTAATGACTACCACAGCCAAATATGGAATCGTCTTAAGCTGACTTTTAAAAAGGAGACATGGACTGTGGAGCCACTAAGTTAACAGTGGTAGCAACAGACTCACCACACTACAGTACTCATACGAGTCATAGAGTAAGTCTTTGCGCCTTGGAATGGCAGTTACTATCTGCGATATCACTACCTACCTGTCTGGGAAGATGTGTAAGCGCCGAACATCCGACCATCCAGGAACATCCAGGAACATCCTTGGACAACAAACAAATACATGACTGTATGTGTAGCTTCATGGGAAATTAATTCGCGAAAACTACATGTAGGTACAGGAGGCTGATTTGCTCAATCTGCGGACAGCATGCTGTTTCGTTCTTTGTGAACTCATCAGCGCAGCACAGAGAAAATGAGGCCGAACCTGATAGCAAAGAAAACTAAAATTTCCAAAGCCAGATTTGCGATACCTTTTCAAAGTTTCGCCAACTAATCGCTGCCAACATCACAAACCAGGCAGTAAATCGAGATGTCACCACAGTTCGTGATACATACTGCTGATACTGTTCATTACATGCACATGTACATGTATGCATGATACCATCGCTGATAATGATGGCTGTACATGCCACCAATAATATTGTACACATCAAGACATGTTTACGCCTGCATGCAGCCAGCTATTGGAAGCATTTGGGTTCTAGGCAATGTAGAGACAATCCCTCCAATAAGGTTTTCGTACTGACGAGGCCTCTCTTCCTTTCTTTTATACACTCAGTTTTGATAGTTGTGCTTTGTTGCCCAGTGCTAAGCAAACTGAACAGAACAACACCGAAGCCAGTCCATCCGGATATCACTCATTGGCTTTGTTGCCAAGTACCACACACACGCTACAGATACGATGTTGACAAGACAAGACTTAGTGTGTACTGCCGTTTGTGTGGAACATTTTCTTCGACGGGGAGGAGTGCTCCGGAGAGGTCCTGCTACTTCGTCTTAGCAACATTGACGGAACAACGCCAGTGGCGTTGTCACCCTCTTGATATATTTCTACCGCGAGATCTACTGGCAAAGATACACGCACATTGTTCGTGGTGTGTCAGTAAAGGAGATACATGTAACACTGGCAACAAGGATGTCACACTGACAGGATGGGTACATGCCATTCTGCATGAGAATTAGTATTCTAATGCAGTAGTGAGAGGAACGAGCTGCCACAAATCCGACAACCACTGAGAGAGGCAGTTTACAGGCGAATTCAAAAGACGTAGCGCAAGGCAAGAAACTGCGTTTCCAAGTATGTGTGTCAGCATTACAATCAAGGTTATGGAATTGACAGCGCGCGTCAGAAATCATCTTGTCCCATGGACTCGCCTTCGGGCTGACATGGTGAGAGATTGGCAAAAGAGAAGAAGAATGCTCGTGGTCATCTAGACGTTACAACAAGGCTAAAAGTACAAGTAAACATGCCGTTTGAACAACAGAGCCAGTGAGAGGAAAGAGAAGAGGGGGCTGTGTGCTACTTAATTAAGTTGCCTATTTCATTTACTCCCAATTACCACATGATCGTGCTTCGCTGCTTGTATGAATAGCAACACAGATTGTTCATCTTCAAATCCGGAAAGCGGCTTAACACTCGTGAAGGCCGTCCCCAATGAGCGGGAGAAGGACTGGCCCGCATGTACCCGTCATGGAGACTTGCTGCATACACACAAATCTTCTAGACCCTCTGTTTCAGGCAGTGCGTGAACGCAATAGCAGGGACTACAGAGCGCAGGAGTGTCGGAGTGATCATGCCTCATGGTCTCATGGCCCTGGAACAATGAAGACCCACTGACTGAGAATCGTGCAAGTGTCTGCAAAGTGACAAAGACTCTGACTACAAGTGGCATGCTGCATTACGGTCAGGACACTTGACTGGCTTGACCGGCCTAATGGGATGGCATGCAACGGTTACCATTTCCTCACCATGCAGATAGTATCCAGTGCTGGAAGAACTGAGCAACCGGGACGAACGTGATCAGATAAGGAGAAGAGAGCAGGAAGCCTATCTGGAAAGTGCCCTGTAGGAAATTCGAGTCGTCATAAGACCTTCTGCGTCCCCAGGGTCCCTTCAAATTCTATTTTGACCTGACGCAAGCAACAACAGCAGTCTGAGCTGGCTCATTGACCTAGGACCACACCGCAGAGCCACCAATTTGAAGGACGTCGTTCACCTCCTCGTGCTTCACTGTCTGTCCGAAGGCGCAGATGTGTCATCACCCTTGCATACTTTACTACCGGTCCGAAGACGAAGACGTGTAGAACATCATCTTTGCTGTATGTTGGCAAGAGCAGCTCTTCCCTGTTAGGTAAGTCTATTATACCCTGCCTAGTACCCTGTGTATAGCCTCCAGCAGACGCTGTGGTGTACCCTGTGGTGTACCCTGTAGTGGTTAACCAATAAGTTATCATCGTTATGGAATGGTTCTCGAACTAGTTAGTAAGTGGTGTTTTACAACTACACGGGGGCCTTTGGCAAACTATGTTTCCTACAGCAAGTGTGTGCGCATGTGTCTGTACATGTATGCCGGGTGGTAACCACTTGAGGCAGACACACATTGCTGACCTAATTGTCGCCATCAGGCATAGGCCTGGAAACTTACATGCAGTTTGAAGTATTATGCTTGGAAATGTTACTCATACTGGTGGTGTTTCTATCGGGTCGATCTTTCCCAGACATCATTGTTCCTGTACCTCAGTACTCCACATTTAATTAAAATTTTGCATACTGATGTCCAGCCAGTCAATTTTCTTCCAATCACTATGTTAATAGGCTGATCACCCTACTATTAACCAATCCACTTCTCGGGTGTCACTTCTGCTCAAAGGAAAGCTACGTAAAATTGCCATGCCATGTCCGTGAGTGTTGATTGGCCAAAATAACCTGTAGCTCACTGTCATGATAATTAGCCCTCTAACATCAGCACTGAGGACTGCCACGGTTAGGTGTTTCTAAGGGCTGAAAACTACTAGTAATGGCTTAGACCCCAATAACTCATGTGGACAGGAAATGGCCGTAGGATGACAGATGAAAAGCAAACAGATGGTTGTGAGTCATCACAGAGGCACAGTGTTGCATTTCGGAGGAGGCATTTCCCTGCCATGGAAACCGATGTGTTCAGAAAAGTCTCCACTTCAGCGCATGACCAGAGGATGGCTTTTGGAAAGGAGAAGCAGTGTTTTCTCAAAGTCACAGAAACCACAGTTCTACTCAATGGATACCCAGTTCCAGAAAGGGGACTTCATTCAGCTGTCACACAGATTCAAGTAAAGCAAGGATATTTCAGGTGCACCAAGATGTAGACAGCCCAAGCTTGGCCAAGGTCCTAAATTTTGCCTAGAGGAAGACGCCTCCCCCCCCCCCGTGCGCGCGCAAAGCCTATATGCTTTACCGTATGTGAGAGCCTTTTGTCACAACGTTTTCAAATGCTATGGGCTACTAGACACAATAATTAATTAGAGCTGCTCTCTCATAAAGACCTTTGTTACTAAACACTTCCCCGGGACTTTATGCACTGTACGTGAAGTACAAATCAGGTACTTGTGCACCAGACGAAGGGCATGTAAATACATGTAGGTGTGGGACCTAGGGCGGGTAGAGCTCGTACTTGTTTGTAGAACACATGACATGTACTTGGGTGCAGGATGCAGAATATGAAGGCCGTATCGCTACTACCACGTGTAGTAATGTCCTTGGTGAAGTTTTTTTGGCAACTTACATGTAGAAGCTGAAGACATCACATGGTTAGAATGACTTTCGGAGAATTAGCTGAACTCTTTTTCGCGATGCTTCTCACACCCTCTTACTGACAGGGGAGTTGTTGGCCTTTATCAATGCTGGTTTGGGAGCTTGCACGTCATTGTGACCCTGATGAAGGCAATTTGCCGAAACGTTGAAATGTTGTGAAATGAGTTGAACTATTGCAGTGTTAATGGAAGAGAGCGTGTGGACTCTACTACTTAACTGTTTATGAAACTGGAGGAAGCCTCCCCACTTTTACTTTCAGTGAATTAGTAGCATAATCATTGTCAGTCAATGATGTAATACCTGGAATACACTCCCAGGCTATATTTTTGAATGAAGAATATAGTCGTGAATATTTTTGAGGTTCAACATAGTCGTGAAAAACTCTGAGGTTCTTCTTTGATGGACTCGGATGGAGAGCCAAGGATAAAGTTATAGAAAATAAAAAGGACACCGTCGGGCAGTGTTGTGCAATGTTATCGCATGAGCTGATTGTTCAGTAACTGGTGGTGATAGTGGACATTACAGCGTAACCTGTAGTTCCTGGGTCCTTTGTTATTTTCTATAGTTCTTCTTTTACCTATTGATAGACTAAAGATTCTCCTGTGGGAAGGGTACAGGAAACCCAGGGCAGGGACTGACTGACATTCCAACTGGATATTGACGGGTTTGCTGTGAGATCCGTGAAATATGGGGTGCCAGCTTAGCAGCAGTATCCAATGTTGGCAGTCTGGCTGTGCAGCAGTTAGTGATGACTGGGAGGAGACAATCAACCTTGGGTCACTATAGCAACAAGATACTGGCAGAATATGAAAGCACATTACCCAGTGGTTACTGTATGTGCTCCTGGTACAATTTATATATTACTTTTGCTCGTAAAAGAGGCTGTAGAAGTACAATGCATGGTAAGGAAATGATGTACCTTTGTCTTCAGCTGCACTACACAGACCTGTGATATGCAGCGCTACACAGACCTGTGATATGCTGCACTACACAGACCTGTGATATGCAGGTACTAAAGAGATACTTGTACATGTATGAGACCTTGGCAAAAGGCAGACTTCTCACTTCTCTTGGCGCATAGTCTGTTGATCATCGGAAGTATCCCGGAGTGAAAATCTTACATGAGTGCCTATGGAATCTTGCTCTCATCACAGAGTAGATTGTCCACTGAGTAGATGATGTTATACTGAGCGGAATTGATGCATAGCATTACCACCGTGATGGTATATGGGTGGTGTTGCAGGCTTGATATGTAAAGTTAACATCAATCGGTTGATAAGGAGAAGTATAGCAATGCGTATTGCAGTTTTGGACCATGGTGGGTAGTTTGGATACATGTGCGTCATCCCTGAGCTTTTTCAGTGCTGGGTATCCCGTGTACACACGTACAATGGATATTGCACGGTGAAGGTAAGGTCGTTGATTGGAATGCCATGGCAAATGGAAATCAGTGCTGAATGCCACTTCTCACCTGTAGGGATGAATAGTGATGCCGTTACTGGTACTTGTGACGACACTAGGCCAGGGTTCTAGGGTACTCTTGTCCATGTACTAGTAGTAAGGGATGTGTAGTAGTAAGGGATGTGCATGTACATGTATGTGCATGTTCACAGCAGAGGCTCAGCAGCAGGATCAGGCCAGTGTAGTGAAATAGCAGTGAAGTGAAATAGCAGTGCAAGACCACTTCGGCGTAGCGTGTCCAGTGTCCACATACTTTCCTGAAATGGAACAGCTGGATAGTGCAAGGTTCCACATGATTCTGCCATGATCCGTATTCAAGTGCATTGTTTTGAGTGGCATTCAAGTGATTTGCAGGTGTGCACGAAGAGACTTCAGAACACTTGACTTTTGTTACTTGCCACTCGACTTCTCCACAGACAATGAAAACCTAACACCACATTGTTATAGAAATCATGTCGTCACACTATAACTGTTGGTACATTATAATAACCCGATTCCTTCCAGCAACTGCATTACATGCAATTGGTTTTCTTCACAACACTCTCCAGGTATGATAACCTGTAAATTGGAGTGAGTACCTGTACATGTACATGTACTGTTGAAAAGAAACGTCTCTGCACCCTCCTTGTCAAAGGACAAAATACTGGTCAACCAATTACCACCCATGAACACCAGATATCATCAAGGTAGACCAAAGACCCAACAGTATTATAGCTTGAAATCATGTCAAATTCTTAATTCACAAAAGGTAGCATCTCTGAACGTGTTTGCAACGAGTTACCATGCGTAGCACCGGCATGTGCCCATACAAATTGCAGTGTACTGCATCTACTAGTCCATTATCTCACTACACTGTACTGTACTGTACTGTACTGTACTGTACTGTACTGTACTGGCACTCCACTATCTACATGTATGCTGTGCATGTTCAATGTATTCTTGGATGGTACGAATGACCTGACCAATCATGATCACGCCATGCAGCTGACACCTTGTAATGAGGCCGGAGATCGGACTGTTTGTTCATCATTATTCATCAACTAGAACCTTTTAAAATCGAACCAACCAGCCGTGCACTGAAGCAAGGGTTGCATTATGTAAAGGGCCGCAGTGTAGATCGTGTCACTATGTCAACATGCAAGTGTGCTAAATTAGCTTTTAAGCCGGTCAAAGACTAAGCCCTAAGAGGTAGGAAGCTGATATCTTCACACCTGGCTTGGTCCAGGAATTATACAATGACAGCAATCACACCGAAAACAATTTCAAATCTACTTTCCATTGAGTCTGGCGGAGAGAATACTCACCTATTGGGTGGACATCAAACACTGAGGAGCTACTTAACATTGTGCCAAACCAGTCGGGTCTTTACTGGCACCGCCCGCCCGCCGCCTTTGTTTAACGATATGAAAATGAGGCCAGTTGTCTCATAAACCTGTTACAGAACCATATTTCTGCTATTCTGTTTTTGAATTCACGGATACGATTATGGTTTTCTCGTACTCTTTTGTCGTGCCATGCAATTTCCTCCCACAGCAACAAGGGCAGCAGCAGAAGCAACAACAGGATCATCAACAGCAGCAACAACAACAGCAGCAACAACAACAGGATCATCAAGAGGTGGTTTGTCCGAGCAGGTCTATGACTGATTCAAGTGGTTCAGGGATCATAGTGCACACTGCTGACCAGTACCATACTCAGCAAGCTGCCGCTACATACTACCAGAGTTGCGTTGCACCCTCTCTCAGTATGCCACCAATGACGTACGAAGGTGGAGCACATCCTCACCTGGTACCCCCACCAGGGCAAGTGCCCATACAAGCCTACCATACCTACTGCCCTACTTTTCACCCCAGGGAACCCGACATGCCAGTGCTTGACGCTAACCAGCATAAACGTAAGCTACAATGTACTAGATGATTGTGTGTGGTCATGATCGTAATTAAGAAATTACAACTTGCACTCGCCTATTCCTGGTCTGGTTGCAGTGCATCAGACTACATAGCTGAGGTAGTAATACTCTTGATAGGGAATAAGGTATAGGCTACTGTGCACACAACACAAAAACATTCTAGATATGTATTCTCAACACGTTCTCAATGCACAAATGTGCAGAGCAGTATACACACACACAATAGTCGAAAGGCTGTGTATCTGTAACATTTATCGCTACACAGCCTTTCACCTCTGCTGTGTGTGTGTATTCTCAACACGTTGTTCTATATACGCACCAGATCTATACAGTTGCTGTGCGTGCCTGCAAGCTATTCGCTTCTCTGTGTCACTTTTGATTGGACATGTGCAGAGGACTATACAACAGTCCTGCCCGCAATGCATCTGATGACGCCTGTTACGACATTCGTATCACCAGCCACGGGCCTAGCCACGCCACAGCACCACACGGCCATACCCATTGCATCCAGTCACCATGGTAATGGAATGTCGGACATCAGGAACGACATGCAGAGACCAACCAATCTGCCCATGGACATGCCGGCATGTGCATCCAGTAGCCCCGTTGCAAGATCTGCAACTTACATCAGCCAAGTTACTCCAACACCTATGAGTTCTCACACAATGCCTTCGCCTTTCAGTGGAACAGCAGCAAGCAAGCCAGCCAGAGCTGACTTTCATAAGTCGATAAATGATATGAACTTCCCCACGCCTGGTTCCTGTGACTCGCACAAGACACCAGGAGCTCAAATGAAAGGCCATCAACAAAGTATGCCGACTAGCCGTGCTGCGGCTGCGGCATCTGTGAGCAGCAGCACAACACGCAGCCACCGTTCGCCATCCACAAGTCAAAGCTCATCTGCCGCCCGCATGAACAGGAAATCCTCTCCGACTAGCCGACACAGCAAGCAATCTCCATCTGCTAAACGTCCCAGTGCATGCACAGCACAGCCAAGCCGCTGTTTGCCGAAACAAGCAAAGGTCATCCTAAGAGAGTGGCTGGAAAGCAACTTGGAAGTGAGTAAACTGATTTCTTACCTCTTAGTTTTCTATGCTATAGAAATGGAGAGATTCCAGTCCAGAATGTAAATGTGCTGGGAGAAAATAATATTTATGATTACTGTGCACGTTTGTTATTTCTGTTAGCAATGGTTCATAAGAATCTGAGTACAATCTATACCCTCATAACTCTTCTATCTGGACCACAAAGTTAAGGGCACCTTGGCCTACCAGGCAGTCTGTGGGTGAGCTGTGGAAGAAATTTTACTATTCTGTTGCAAATGTTGTGGACATAGTGAGGTCATGTGCCAGACCTCTGATCCTTCCCCATTGAAACATATGTAAAATTAATATTATAGTTAGGGACATTTCACAGGGTAGTGCCCAGAGCCGGACCACCCGGGTAAGAGAGATGTGAGTGTAATGTCGGGACTGTAGCATTCCTTTCAAAGATGACACGACTCTTTACGAGTGTATACAATCGTCATGTAGTTATGTTCTGTAGAGTACCGTCAGTCAGGATAACACACCTCTCCATGTAAACATGTGCCAATGTTTTTCTGCAGTATCCTTATCCAAGTGACTCGGAGAAACAGAAACTTGCCAATCTTGCCTCTATTACTGCTCTTCAAGTTAGTTACTGGTAAGTACATACACTGGTGTTGTGTTACATAGAGCGGCTTGTGATCGGTCTTTATCATAAACCAAGCTGCATAGTTTGCAATCCCCTGTAGTTTGCAATCCCCGGTAGTTTGCAATCCCCTGTAGTTTGCAATCCCCTGTAGAAATTGATTATCAGCTTTATGTAGTATTCTGCTCCTCAAAACTAAATATTGTTAATTGAGATTGGGAATGAAATGTTTTGAAAGTTTTAAAGGTTAATGTTATTACAGAATCAGCTACCCGTGTGTGTAGATATGTGATGTGTGTCTGTGTGTATATGCCTATTGTTATGTTGTTGTGCAGGTTTGTCAATGCAAGGCGTAGACTGTTACCTAGACTACTGGATGACGCCAATCACCAAAGGGCCGCACGAAATGAGCCACCAATTCAGATTCATCCGTGTGCTAGGTTCTCTGAGTCATTCCGTCCGCCGCACATGAAGTGCGACCTTCCTAGCCCAACTAACTCGGTTCGAAAGCCAAAGGACATGGCACAGTTGAGGTCTCCAGCCACTGGACTTCACCCACCCAAAGACATAGCTGTCTTCTCGCCACCATTACATGCATACGAAGCAGCTCCACATCTGATTCTCAGTCACCCGCAAATAGTTACTCAACAACAGCAGCAGCCACAGCAGCCACAGCAGCCACAGCAACAGCTACATGATGGTAGTGACTCGTCCAGTGACTCATCGTCCTACACATGGCCAAGGCAATCAAGGAGCAGCATAGTCCAGGCCACTCCAGGTTTGTATCCAGCTGCTGGAGTCACAGCACATCAACCCATTGTCAATGTGGCCATGGCATCCACTGTTCTCTCACCTTCAGTGGCTGGCAGGTTGCCCGGCACCAGTGCATCATCGCTAGCAGCAGGTGTCAGTAAAGACCAGTATGGATTAGCAACAGTAGTCACTTCATCACCCAGTCCCAGGGAGTATATGCAGAAGATGCCGCCGCCAACTTTCGCCTTCTCCCAGTGCGATAAGCCAGCAGGTCAACAGTTGGATAGTTCCTGTTCCAGCATCCAATCACCTCCATTCTTGCAGCAGCAGCAGCAGCAGCAACCTCAGCAGTATTGCCAGCACCCAACTACTATTCAATCCACAATCCCAGAACAAGGTGAGATCTGTTCACATTGCATCCACAGTTACCAAAGCGTGTGTTGTCGTGAAGGAGATTCACACATAAAATTTAACTGTATACTTTATTACAAAGTCTGAATGACGACAAAACGCAAAATTTATATTCGTTTATGGGCAAGGTGAATATGCGATGATCCACGCTAGTCTTTCAAAGGCGTATAGTACATGTTCATGTACAGAGAGACCACACCACTCCATGACGTTTCTCTTCATTAGGATGCTAAGTGCAGGACTTTTCTTTGCCTGCGTGTACTGTAGGTAGCAAAGAGGAAACGGCAGGTATGAACGGACTCTCACCGCCAATCACACCGTCTGTGACATCACCAGAGAGTGTGGCTGCAGTCCCGCCGCAGCCTCAGTTCCTGTTCCCCTCCACTATGTCTATGGTACAAGCTGGAACATCTACACTCCCGTCACTTTACACAAGTCATCTTAGAAGCCCACCAATGCTTCAGCAGGGACAAACTATCGGCTCTTACACGAGTTGCTGAATTTTGTACACCCATTGTGCATTGTACACCCATTGTGCATTTCAACTGCAGTACAATCATAATATGATAAGTGTTGAGTTGCTCTGTGATCATGTCCTTTCCTACCATGACCACTGCAGTTGTCACGGCTATCTTAGTTGTTATAATTCTCTGACTCTGTACAAATGCCACCTTTTAGATTCTTCCTCCAAAACCAATTCATTTCCGAATTAGTTTCGGGCATTTTGCGCACGCAGCAATCTAGTAGGCATTGAGAAAGGCCTCCGACTCAATAGCGTACATGTACTTCAAATTGCGTAGCATACCTTGAACATTGAGATTTGGCCCATGCATACAGATAACAGGACTGATGCACATACTCATTGTCATTGATACAAAAATGCATTGCACAGATTAGAACATCAATTTAAATTCACAACGGTGTTCGTCAAACACCTTGGTTTTAAACATTGGAGGGTGGAATACTTCTCCTGTATTTCCTAACGGGAATTATTTTATTCTTCTCCTCTCTTTGAGTACCTCTGGTTTTGACAGCTCCGCAATACACTGTTCTGTTATTTTTGTCATTTTCGTCATGGATTTAGTAATAATAACGCCTGCTGCTTCTTGATAAAAGGCCATTTTCTGCTGTATTGCGTTTTTTCAAAAAGAACTCGCCAGGGGAAAATGGATTCCTGGCTGAGAATGCCCAAGGGAACAGAAAAGATCGGCGAAGGGAAGACAGTTGGAATCATTTCAGGGAAGAGACTGAGTGTGCTATTAGCTAGGGGTGAAAGGGGCTCAATTGTAGCGGTCCCAGAGGTGATCCTATAGTTCCGAAGAAATCGGCAGGCTAAGTTATAGTTGCAGACGAGTTATAACGCTGTCACACCTTGCCTGGTTTGTACGATCCAGTGCATAATCATGATAATGGAAAGTTATAAAAAAACTGAAGTGATATTGGAAGAAATTTGAGGCGTGTTTAAATTTGTCAATAGAGAGTTTACGTTCTTTCACTTTCGAATGTGAGAAAAAAGTGCCTTGAATCGCTTTTTTCACCGCGAGTTGGCCCTCTGTCGCATTGAAATCTCACTTTGCAACGTAAGGAGCGCCATTTTGGCCGTGAGATCTCACGTTCGAAATTGAAAAACGTGAAGCGTAACTCTCTAGTGTCGCCTTCATCCAAAACGGTATATGGGAGCAGCAGGACGATCCGAACTAAACAGTTATCACTCCCCCCTCACGTGACCGCGGACTCCTGCATTTACACTCACACAATAACCACACAACTGTTTGGGGATAGCGCGCTTATTGTATTATGCCAAACTTGACACGCTGAGTCCAGCTTGACTCAGCTGAGTCCCTAACTGCAATTTACTGCTCTAACATGAAGCCGTGCCTGGAAGAAGGGAAAGAGCGAAAAAAGAAAAAAAATTCTGGCCTTCTGCAAGCAATAGCAAGTAATGAGTGATGGCTGTGTAAAGTCGCACAACCATGCAGTCGACCGGATGATGGTGAGTGTCCGGCACACATCTTGCTCTGCTGCTCCACCTGCGCATACCTGATACGGTGGTGCGCTTACGGGCGGGCTGCCTGGGCCCCAGATGCCTCCTTGATGCGCCACGGAGTGCCGTCGAAGCACCTGTATCACTTCGGTGATCCAAATGCGAATGCAGCCTTGCTGGTCGCCCGCCGGCCTGCCGCATTTGGCACTTCTAAACGCCGCGATCCGGTAGACAGCTCACTGGCCTGCGAAATACGTGACTGGCTTGAGGACAGTTCCATACTGGGCAGGGTGCCCAGCTCAGGTCGCACGCCGTAGCGGCGTGAGCTGGGCGCGGTGAGGGTCGGTGATAACTACAGTTTCCTCCTTCCTCCTCCGGAAACTTCCATTTATCACTCCCCCCTCACGTGACCGCGGACTCTTGCATTTACACTCACACAATAACCACACAACTGTTTGGGGATAGCGCGCTTATTGTATTATGCCAAACTTGACACGCTGAGTCCAGCTTTTACTCAGCTGAGTCCCTAACTGCAATTTACTGCTCTAACATGAAGCCGTGCCTCCCAAAATTAATGGGGGTGGCCTCGCAGCACGCTATCCCCTATTCTTGGTCCCGTCGATCTCTGTGCTGTTCGCTGTAGACCTGTGATGGCATGCCTGATTCGGTATACAGTGAAACCAGTAGCTAAAGACCACCGTGACCAGCGACCAGCCTGGTACTACCGACCACTTCGCCGGGCACGGACGGTCTCACATTCATAATGGTTGTGCGGTGCAAGCCTGCAGCCAAGGACCACCTGCCACTAAGGACCGCTTTCTCTGGCCCCAAGGGGTGGTCGTCAGCCACAGGCTCAACCGCACATGTATCTCTTGCGGGTCAACCCTGACCACCTTCCGGCGGCCTGGGGCTGCCGTCCGGGCACCTTCCTGGCCGCCAGATCCTGTGTCAGCTTGAGGGTGTCTACCAAGGGCATTGCCATGAAGGACTGCTAGGCTTTCCCCTGGTTGGTAGCTCCTGCTGGTGCTGGGCACTACTGAATACGCTGACGACTTGTCAGCTTCCGTGGGTAGTGTTTGCACGGGGGGGGGGGGGGGGGGGATACCTGGGCGCCCCAAGCCGGGCAGACAACAGCCGAAGGGCTGTCGTGTTGGATACAAGTGTGACTAGCTACCCGCCTGATACTATGGACACCTTCGCCGGGCACGGACAGTCTCACATTCATAGTTTGCGGTGCAAGCCTCCAACTAAGGACCACCTGCCCCTCAAGACCGCTTTCTCTGGCCCCGAGGGGTGGCCGTTTAGTCACAGGCTCCACCGCACATGCATCTCTTGCGGGTCAACCCTGACCACCTTCCGGTGACCTGGAGCTGCCGTCCAGGCCCCTTCCTGGTGGCCAGATCCTGTGTCAGCTTGAGGGGGTCTACCAAGGGAATTGCCATGAAGGACTGCTAGGCTTTCCCCTGATTGGTAGGTCCTGTTGGTGCTGGGCACTACTGAATACGCCGTCACAGCTTTTCCGCTTCCACGGGTGGTGTTCGCACGAGGGGGATACCTGGGTGCCCCCCGCAGAGCCGACAACAGAGCCAAAGGGTTGGCGCGTTGTATACAATTATTAGTTTCTCAGTTATTCTTGTATTTTGCCTCTTAGGTCGATGACGGCTTCCCGCCCGCCGATCGTCCAAAAAATATATGGGGTGAGGCCCCTATACTGCAACAGGCAATAAATGTGGCCGGGAGTATGCGCTAGAGGCCAGTCAGGACCTGCTGGGTGCCCGAGCTACGGTGCTAAAAAGCAAATGCGAACAAGCAAGCTCGAAAGGAGATCTTCGGTTGCACTCCCCATCTCAGCTGCAAACAAACCACGCTCCGAGGGAGAGCTGCCCCTGCATTTTGCAAGCCTAGCTGTAAATATACAAAGCTCCAAGGGGAAATGCCCCTGCATTTTGCAAACATAGCTGTACACATCCAATGCTCCCAGGGGAGCTGCCCCTGCATTTTGCAACCATAGCTGTAAACTTCCAAGGCTCCAAGGGGAGCTGCCCCTGCATTTTGCAAGCATAGCTATAAACATCCAAAGCTCAGGGGAGCTACCCCTGCGTTTTGCAAACCTAGCTGTAAACCAACAAAGCTCAAAGGGAAGCTGTCCCTGCATTTTGCACACATAGTTGTAAGCATCCAAGGCTCCAAGGGGAGCTGCCCCTGCATTTTGCGACCACACCTGTAAACATCCAACTTCAAAAGCTCCCAGGGGAGCTGCCCCTGCAGTTTGCAAGCATAGCTGTAAACATCCAAAGCTCCAAAGGGGAGCTACCCCTGCGTTTTGCAAACCTAGCAGTAAACCTACGAAGCTCGAAGGGGAGCTGCCCCTGCATTTTGCAAACATAGTTGTAAACGTTGAAGGGTCCAAGGGGAGCTGCCCCTGTATTTGCAAATGTAGCTGTAAACATCCAAAGTTCCAAGGGGAGCTGCCCCTGCATTTGGCAAACCTAGCTGTAAACCTACAACGCTCTGAGGGGAGCTACCCCTGCATTTTGCAAACCTGGCTGTAAACATCCAAGCGACAAGGGGAACTGCCCCTGCATTTAGCCAACATAGTGGTAAACATCCAAAGTTTCAAGGAGTGCTGCCCCTGCATTTTGTCCGCACAGCTGTAAACTAGTTTTAAAAGCTCCAAGGGGAGCTGCCCCTGCATTTTGCAAACATAGCTGTAAACATCCAAAGCTCCAAGGGGAGCTGTCCCTGCACTTTGTCGCGTAGCTGTCAACTAGCTAAAGCTCCAAGGAGAGCTACCCCTGCATTTTGCAAACGTGGCCGTAAACATACCCAGCTCCAAGCCCTTTTTTTTGTTTCTTCCTCGCAAACATAGCTGTAAACATACCACGCACTAAGGGGAGCTGCCCCTGCTTTCTGCAAGCATCGCTGTAAACGATTACATACAAGGCTCGGAGGGGAGTTGCCCCTGCTTTTTGCAAACATAACTGTACCCGGCCCCAAGGGGAGCTGCCCCTAAATCTTGCAAACATAGCTGTGAACATACAAAGCTCAAAGGGGAGCGGCCCCTGCGTTTTGCAAACATAGCCGCAGCGCCGGGCATAACGCCACCCAGGCGAGGCGCGCTGCCCCTGCCTTGACCAATGCCGCCGCAAACAACACGCGCAAAGGGGCGTTGCCCCTGCATTTGCTCGCATAGCCGCCGTATCAGACCGCTGGGTCAGCCGCCATATCAGACCGCTGGGTCAGCCTCCATATCAGACCGCTGGGTCAGCCGCCATATCAGACCGCTGGGTCAGCCGCCGCCATATAAGACCGCTGGGTCCGCCGCCATATCAGACCGCCGGGTCAGTTGCCATATCGGACCGCTGGGTCAACTGCCATGTCGGGCCGCCGGGTCAACCGCCGCATGGGCTAGGGGCGCTGCCCCTGCCTCTGCCGCCGCCACAAACAGAGCTCAAAAGGGAACCACCCCTGCATTTGCTCGCAACGCCGCCGTATCAGGCCGCCGGGTATTCCGCCGCACGGGCGATTACGAAGGGGAATTGCCCCTGCCTCCGCTAGTACAACTGAATAAGCCGCATGGGCCAATCGTCCTGCCTGCCGGGTGCGCATAATGTGTGTGTGTGTGTGTGTAACGCACATACGCGTGTCTGCAATATGCCCTGCGCGGTCGTGACAGATTAATCCGTCGCACCTCGGGTAAAGTGTTAATTACTGAAAGTAAGACAAGGTCGCCAGCCCGCCAACACCGGCACTTACTGCTGGCTCGCCGTGGTATCTAAACAACAATTGCAACAGCGACGACAGCCGCAAGGAAAAAGATAACAGCTCGCCATGTCCAAACAAAGCCCCAAAACAGCAAAGTAGACCCCACATGCCGAGACTTGGTGTAATGCCGCCTAGTACGAGTAGGAAGGGGAGGGGAGCGACAGCACTTAGAGGCGAAGCAGGGTGAGAGATGGAGGAGAGGAGGATAAAGAGAGAGAGAGTGTGTGTGTGTATGTATGTATGTATGTGTGTATGTATGTATGTATGTATGTATGTATGTATGTATGTATGTATGTATGTATGCGTGTGCGTGGGTGTGTGTGTGTGTGCTTGCGTGCTTGCGTGCTTACCCACGTGTGCTGAGAGAGATAGACTACACAGCGAATGAAAAAGGAGGCACGCATTGGTTGAGAAGAAGTTCAGCCGGTTTGCTGCCATGATTAGTTGCTCCCGCCTAGCACGAGTTCGGGACTAAGCCGAGTCCAGCAGCTGGATTAGGGAGCCGATGAGAGGAAATGGACTAATTGTCCTCGTGAAAGAGCGTCCGCAGCGGAGTTGTCCGTGGACGTAATATGGGTAGTCAGCGAGATAAAGCCTTGTGTTCTGCTACCATGCGGGGGCTGAAGCGGGCTAGTTCCGTCACGGTTGGATTTCGGCGTCCCGGATTTCAGACTGCTCCAACTGCCTTTTTGTCGCCGTGCAGTATGAATTTCTTGTCGGACTACTTAGGGCCCCAGAGGGTGTAAGCTCGTGTTGCAAGGCGCGATGGTTCTGAAAGTCTGCCAGGCCTCGACCCAGTAGATTAAAGATTCAGTTTTTCTCTTGCCAGAAGAGGAGCCGCCAATGACAATTCCACTCAGTGATTGCCATCGGATTGATCGATTCTAACACGTTTGGCTGCTGGCTGCGTGTGGGCAGGACAGGAAGGAAGCATTGTGGCCAGCTCGAAGTACTGTGTATTCCGCACGCCGTATTGTCCTAATCGTCTCCCGTGCGCCAACACATGCGCCGGCCGGCATCATAGCGCCTCCAAGGAACTCAACTAAACTGGTCATGCACGACAGTGTCCATGCCTGCATTTTCGGTCGGCATGCTCATCGCCCGAGGCTTGTTGGTCAGGGCCGACGCTGCCGTCGCCGCGGTCTCAAACGAGGAATACCAGCGATCCGCTGCTGAGTAGGATCCATGCTCAGGTACGGGTATAAACCATGTAAACCAACTAGCTTTAGAGCAAACGAGAGGAAAAAAAATTCTGGCCTTCTGCAAGCAAAAGCAAGTGATGAGTGACGGCTGTGTAAAGTCGCACAACCATGCAGTCGACCGGATGATGGTGAGTGTCCGGCACACATCTTGCTCTGCTGCTCCACCTGCGCATACCTGATACCAAGAGTACATAACCCAGGTGTATGTAATCAAGCACGCTCAGGAGGTCATGATGGCTGAATCTTGCCCGAGCCTGCAGCCCAAGGGCCGTAGGCCCGAGGGCTGCAGGCAAGGGCAAGATTCAGCCATCATGACAGACAGAGCGTGCTTGATTTGATTTCTTACAGCGCGAAGGAACATTATTAGGGAAGGTCAAAGGTGGAAAGGTCGAAAGGTCGAAAAATTATTCCCGAAATGACGTCAAACGGTCCTGATGGCCTGATTATGCCCGCGGCGGGAAGATCGCCTATTGGCCATGGCCCCGGCAACGATCACGTGTCATGTAAGAATATGTACTCTTGCTGATACGGTGGTGCGCTTACGGGCGGGCTGCCTGGGCCCCAGATGCCTCCTTGATGCGCCACGGAGTGCCGTCGAAGCACCTGTATCACTTCGGTGATCCAAATGCGAATGCAGCCTTGCCGGTCGCCCGCCGGCCTGCCGCATTTGGCGCTTCTAAACGCTGCGATCCGGTAGACAGCTCACTGGGCTGCCAAATACGTGACTGGCTTGAGGACAGTTCCATACTGGGCAGGACGCCCAGCTCAGGTCGCACGCCGTAGCGGCGTGAGCTGGGCGCGGTGAGGGTTGGTGATAACTACACTAGTTTCCTCCTTCCTCCTCCGGAAACTTCCATTTTAAAATTGACGAAAGTTTTTGTTCGCTTCTCGACAGGGTACAGGGAATAATGAGAATATTCTAACTGTAAATGCAACGTCAAAATAATAGTTCCTAAAAATTACTTGTAAATTGAATATAACGCTTCCTATACCGAGACTGAAAATAGAAAAATAGGTGTCTAAAACGACACATTTTCACTCAGCAGGTGAGAAGGGGAAGAGGTAGAAGAACAGGCCACGTGGCATTACCCACACACTCACGAGAGCAAGCGAACGATAACTGCAATTTGCCAAAGATAACACCCTCTCTTTTTGAACAGATAGGGCAAGAGACAGGCTTACGAATGTACAAAATGCTTCCAAAACAGCAATATGCAATTTAGACCTGCCGCGAGTGACGATACAAAATACATGATCTCAGGTATACAACTCCCGACAACTACCATTGACACGTGGCGCCTGATAGGCGTTAGGGTTACAGCGAATGTTCTAAATGGCTGGAGAATCCCTCTAATCTGAACAAATGAAAGTTCTAACATTCCAGGACTATTGTGTCTATGACTGTTAGCATCTTGCAGCACTTGTCCTGGCATACGTATACACATTATCTCATGTAGACTGACAATATAATTATTATTATTATAATCTATGCGTGAATAAACTACCAGTACGTACAAACCTTGAAGGCAACCAGCGGATAGGTATTACTATTTCAATCTGTTGTTGCTATTCTGGGAGTTTCATGCTCTTTATAATATGTACATGCATTTCCGAGTATAAAGTCGATGTTGAGACTGTGCATGTTCAGAAACCAGGATTCGAACCTTCCTTTGAATGCAACCTTCCTTCTTTCGGATTCGGAAAGGATTACTTCGAAGTAGTAACCGCACCTTCGAACCTTTGTTGCAGCCCTAATAGCCGACATCCATCTCGGCTATGCCTTTGGGAAATCCTTTAAATAATAAATATCAAAATATCAATATCTTATTGAAGGGCCCAACGAGAAATGGAGATGTCAATCGAAGGGAACGACTCAACCGGGCATTGTCGGCAGTTGTACATGTAGATCTACTAGTATACTGATTGTGTGAAATACGCTGTTGGCGGGTTTGTAGGTCGATGAGGGCTGCGTTGTCGGTCATGTATCGAAAGGAAGAAGTATGGCTGAGACACCATCACTCCGCATCCTATAAAATAAATGTTGAATACAGTTACCATATTTTACGGAGTACAAGCCGCACCTCCCCCCCCCCCCCACCCCCATTTTTCGCCACGAAATGCAGACATCTATTCTATGTATCACCGTTAATTTCATCATGGGCGTGTAATCCGCACCCCTTTTTTGGGTGAATTTTGAGTGTTCAAAGTGTGGCTTATACTCCGGAATATGGTAAACAGTAATTGTAACTAACTGAAGTGATTTCACCTAAAAATAAAATCTTCATTTGTGATCAACAGCCTCTTTTCTTTGTGTCCATTTGGATATGTTACTTCTGGGATCACTCGCCAGATCACCCATTGCTCACTTCAATGAACACCGCTTGGGTTATTCACAAGCCACAGAGAAACAAAATCAAGTTGTATTCAAGGTTTGTTGTACTCTTTTAGGCTATTAATCTGGTAGATATATATAGGAATGCTGTCAATCAGTCTTAGGGATTGGATACTTAGAAAAAATAAATAGAATGATAATCGTAAATGCTGCAGTTGTATTTCAAGTACTTGAAGCAACAATGAATGGAAATTGCGATTCATAGCTTCCCCTCGGAATCCTCTACACATGCTGCATGGATATGTACATGTATGTCTATGGGGGCATCATGTTTGTAGTGCAGTTATGTCTGTGTACGGACAACTGTGATGGTATATCATGGCATAAGCACATGTGTTCGAACCTGCAATAAAATGTTCCCATCGATCTTGAACTTGATAGACAGAAAAATAGATGGAATGTTTGGAGAGATTTGGAGAAACTGAGGTATTTTTGTGTATTTTAAAATAATATATCTTGATTTACAGAAAAAATAGATCTGATGTTTGGAAAGATTTGGAAAGAGTTGGAGGGACTGAGTTTTGTTTTGTGAATCCAAGGACTGCGTGTGGTTGTGTGCTGGAACTAACTAGATACAATCATGACGAGGCCGCAGAGGAGTTACGCCGTTCTCATTAGTAAATGTTACAAACGAATTAAAACGTGAATGCAGGAATGAGAAGGTCAAACCAATACAGGCACCACCTGCAAAGGCCAACAAATATTATCACTACACAGCCGACAAGTTGAGGATCTTTTGGAGAGTCGCGAGATGCAGTGCCCCTCATGCTGCAACGATATCGATGGTCTGAACGGTCACTGACTCAGAAACTTCTGTATGAGACCATTGCTAGGAAGACTGCTGTACGTACATGTAGTCTCCGTTTGAACATGCGTGTCCTCAAATGAGCTGGGAAAAGGCAGGCTTGTTTGCGTTGGAAAGTAATCTTGAGGAGTGGCGTGTAGGTTTCTTGGCCTGTGCGGGATAGGCTCTGGTTGAGTGAGTAATCGAGCACCATCATCATACTGACCGGTTGACTGTGGAAACGTACAGGAGGTAGCAGTGGTTGGTATGACTGGTTGACACCTTATTGAAGCCTCGTTCATCCACGATGGTGAGGCAGGTAAAGATTTATCACTGTCACTGCCCTCTGCTACTGCGTCTTGTGAGCTCGTCAGAACGCTGGGAGTGAAGCGGAATCGTCTTTGGTAGGGGTGCTGCCTTATCTCATCCCAGGAAATACGCAGGTATCCGTCCACTTGACATACATACTTGTATGTGTATTTGCGACCGGCGACTTTCTGCAAGATTTTCTTCATGTAGTAATAGCGGAGTCCCCTGGCCAACTTTTCATAGTTCATTCCAGGCTTGCTCTTCCTCTTCCCCCACCTCTTTGCCACTTCAGCCGGCGACCTAATCTTGAACTCCCATGGATTCTCATACGTCCACTCGATAATGTTACGTTCTCGTGAGTCTGACAATAGTTCCAGAAGGAATTGCCAGAGTTGAATTTGTCCTGAGCCTAAAAAGTACAAATAAGAGAAGACAAGAAATTAAATTATTTCAGGAATTCACAAGTCATGTACGACATGTACGGGCACAACTACAGCTACACACTTACACGTACATGTACATGTACAAGTATCAGGGAAATGACATTATGTGGTATATCTGTATTGTTCTGTCCGCAGATTTCGTATACTTGTATTGTACATGTACTTCAGGCTCATACCACTTATCTATACTGTGATAGCTGCTGCACGTTCAGAATCACCAATATCTTGGTCACATTATAGTTGGACAGCACCAGATAACTTGTAACCCACTGGTCTTCCTTCAATGTACTTGTACTAAGGTGTAGCTCAGTTGGTTAGAGATTGCTAGCGAATAGCAAGGTCCCTGGTTCGAGTCCCGGTGGTGTGACTGATGATTTTTTCTTTCTTTCATATCTGGCTTGCAAGTGTTGAGTTTCGGAGAGAAAAGACCAGTACGTGGCATGTGGCCTCTAATTTCCTAAAACTTTGAAATTCTCCGTGAAGTCCAAATTTGAAATTGCAATTTGTATTATTGTTCAATGTAATCAGTCAGGAAAGCGAACTGCGGGAAGAGTGAAAAATGCAAACCAACCAGGACTCGAACATGGGACCTTCCTGGCCATGAGCTATTATTGTTACTCATATTTTTCGTGCTACGAGTACTTTAGTAAGGTACTGACTTTTGTTTCGAAAGTACATGTGCAATAACGTGTGGTTAAGAACTTATGATAGACTTAGCTGTTGCAATTTTAATAGCTTTTACAATGGAAAATACTGATGCACAATTCAAGGAAAATTTCACAGTATATAAGTATTATGAAATTAGGCCACCTGCCTCGTACTGCTCTTTGTTTCTCCGAAGCACTTGCGAGCCAGATGCGAAAGAAAGAATAAATTATCAGTCACACCAGCGGGACTCGAACCAGGGACCTTGCTAGTGGAGCAGTACGAGGCAGGTGGCCAAATTTCCTAATGGAAAATACACTTCGGAGTTTCTGTTCTGCACACAGTGTTCCATGCCCACAACACGTTAGTGGCGGAGCACTTCGCACAAGATGTTGCATCTGAAGTCTTTCCTGAGGTTTTACCCGATCCCGTTCTTGTTATATACTTGGTAAAGGTAAACCTTGGTTGATAGACTAACATAACATAGTCATGTACTTGTACGCATATGGATAACATAATCATGTACTTACTTGTGTAGATATCATATTGGTTGATTGCAGTCTGATCGTCACGGCTACAGGCGCTCTGAGATGGAGCTTGTCCCGCTGATACTGGACTCTGGTCACCAATACCTTGACTGGAGGCTTGCAGTGGGGACATACTTGCATGTTCTGTGTTTGGGTGCGGTTCGTCAGGCAAAGGGAGCGACTGCGATGGAGTAGGCAATGTCAGCTGACAAACCTCAGCTCGATCAAGGTTTTCCTGTGTCATGCAGCTAGACCCAAAAGATCCACTATCTGCACCAGCTAGATGCCTAAATTCACTCGTACGTATTGAGGGAGGTGTTGCAGCTGCTACTGATCTAGCCGATGCGCTCGTTCCTGGGAGCATAGCTGATGAGATACCATCTGCCCCTTGAATTTGCCTAGGGCTGAATCTCGCCTGATGATGAGAAGCAGATTGGAATTGATGCACACCCATTGGTTGATGAGTGTGACTTGGAGTCTCATCGTGACTTCGGCCTGGGCAACCCGGGGATTTTTGATGTTCAGTTGAAGAGTGTTGTCGCCAAAACGCAGTATTACTGGCGTCTATTGACGACCCATGATCAGTGACTCCCAGCCTTCTTGAGGATAGTGCAGAATCCGGGAACATTGGGGGCATAGGATACTGAGAGATGAGTCCTATTGAGTGGGTTGATGGGGATTGCGAGTACTTGTAGCTAGTTCCCGGCAGCAGGGTGTTACTGACTGTTAGTTGCGGTGGTCCATAGGACGAGGCCAAAGGTGGAGAATGAAATGACTCGGTGGTTGATTCGAATCCTGAAATCCAGTTGTCTGAGCCTGACAACAAATCACCTTGAAGACCATCAAACTGGAAGCCACCGTGAGCAGGTTTCTCCAAATGGTCCAGAAAGTCCTCAACTTGCCGTGGTTCAGCCAGGTGCATTGCGCTTCTCTGGTACTTGCCAATCCCCCTGTTGCTTCCGCTTTGCTCCAGAGCGGATGTGTCACAATCGGCCATTGCTTGAGCAGAACGTGCTGCTAGTACTACAGGTCCTGACATTGCAAGAGTGGTTGAAGCAGTCGAATACCGTGGGTAGGTTTGGACAGTTGATATTCCAGAAGATGACAATGACAGCGTAACATGCGTCATTGAATGATCACCTACACCAAGGAATGATGAAAACACGGTTAAATTAACAGCAGGTATTCTGGTCCAACCAAGTGAAATCCAGACTGGCAAATTCACGTTCGTTACTTGGGAGCACTACTCAATCATCCTGGTAGTCCTACTGATAACCGGCGAAAACTATGTTCAGTCTTCAAACTCGTCTTCAACCAACTGACCACGACCAGATGGAAAGGTTTGGCTTTATATAACCCACGTCCGCCTTTCTACTAGTAATACAAGGGCCAGAATAAGTGGTATCGAATCGCAAGGCTACAACGCACAATTAAGCAAACAATGCTCGCAAGTGGCTCTCATCACTATAGTGTAAGCATCGGCACACCACATACAGCATTGAGCATTCACAGCAATTTGACCGTGTCAGTAACGTGGGCACGGTGTGGACAAACACGTACGATGGGTGAGTCGCCCACGGATATGCGTATCCATACGGACCTATGGCCGAGCATAGGAAATTACAGCGCCATCTTTGGGTACTGCTTGGTACGCGCGCTCTTCCATTCTTCACTCTAATTTTGCAGTTTGAATGACTTGCAAAGGACAGTCTTTGTAGATCTACAACTGGTCGCCTCTTCAATCATGTCGCGCATAGTCAAAGCGTGCTTGCAAATTCTGCCTACATGTATTCGATAAAAGTTCATACATTCATGAACACAAGAGAGAGATTGGAAGCTTTGTTACAAAATACATTCATGAACTTTAAACTATGGAGCAGATTGCATAATATAGATGGTAAGTACGTTTATTCTTCGTGAATTGATATCGTCCGGGCGCAGGCAGGTGATAACGGCACGTTTATGCGTACATGTATATTCTAATCATGCATGAAGGCCAGCTAACCAGGCAAACTAGGGGTAATGGCGATTCTGATACATGTAGCTAGCGACTAAGTGGAATTATTGATGGCCATGTGCTGAATAACATGCACCCAGTCTTGTTGAATTCTGATTCAGGAGTCCAATATTTGCAAAGGTCACACACTGTGACACAGCACTCGACTCGAAACTGATCAAATTATGCCCGTTCCCAGAAACGAATATCCCTGTCACGAATATCTCAGTCCCGAATATGTACATGTACCTGATGTACACTCTACCTGCGGACAGCATGCTGTTTTTTTGTTTTTTGTTTTTTTTTGTATTTTTTTAATGCTGTTTCGTCCTCATCAGCGCAGCAGAGAGAAAACGAGCCCTAACCTGATAGCAATGAAATGATGAATTTAATTTCCAAAACCAACTAGGCCTGAGCGGCTGAGTGCTCAAACCGACAAGTCAGTGAGCTCTGCGTAATGCAAACTGCAAATATACTACCCACATGAGAGTGCTCAACTACAAAAGAGCAGGAGCGAAAAACTCAATCAGCGGACAGCAGTCCTGATGTACATGTACCTAGTATTATAACCTAACACTGGTTAAAAAACCAGTATTAGATCAACCTTGTTAATCTAACAATATGTACCTACATGTACATGTACATGTTGGTACATGATTGTGCATGACTGAATACCTTTCGTAAATATACTTCATGTAAGGGGCAAGTTTGCACAGAACAATTAGACGTGCGTGAATATGTATCATGATACGCTCTATGCAGGTACATGTACTGTATGGTTGGAACGCTGGTTCCGGCTAATTAATGGTCAATCTGGACACACGGACAACGCTTCTTCCATTATCATTACATGTATTTCAAGTTTTTCAACTCTTATAGTTCGACTTCGGCAACATCACTGACAGAATACAAGTGCCTAAATATTGATTCTTCAGAGATAGTGCTACAATGTACATGTACATGGACGTGTAGAAAGAGTATTTTAATCTTAATATCAGAAAGTGAAAGTGCTGACTGAAAAAAAAACCCATTACTTCTTAGGTGAAAGGCACCGGTGTGTGTCGGGGATGTGTGTCGGGGGACTTGACATTTCAATTCCCCGTTACAATAATAATTATTATTAAAGCACTTCACATGCTGTCGGCTCTGTTAGTGTTACACAGGGTGGATCATGTTTTTACGAATGACACAATCCCTACAATCAGACAGAGAAAGGAAAAGGAAAAAGCGCTAAGAAAGAGAAGAAAGAACAATGACGAACAATGACGAACGGCTATCTGTAGGTCGAGCGTAGACTTGATGTATGGCAATTTCTGTGTGTTTGATTACCGGTATGCTGCTGCTGCCAACTCACAAAGCCTAAACCAGGATAAGGTCATCGTCTCCAGGCTAACCAGGTTCCCAGGCACTGTACTGGAATATGTCGCCGCTACAATGTGGTCCGTTTACATACCAGTAACAATCATATCAGTGGCGCAATACACGTGACACCCATTATGCCTTGAATCACTTTAGAATTTTACGAGTACCGCTACTGATGCAGCACAACAGAATAGTGAAGTACGTTTCTAGATTTCACAGAGGCAAACATCTTATGTATTCATCAAAGACTACACGAGGTGTGGCGTTATCCACCTGACAATGCTGCCTATGCATGTGTTTCTATTTGTGCAGGATATAGAGGAATCAGGTATTCGCAGCACAATGCTGACATTCTCTGTTCCTCTGTTCCCCTGGCCATGGGAAGCTTTGAGGAGGCCCTGGTCGGGGGATGAAGGCTGACAAGGCGTTCACTCAATTGATCTCCATTCGTCCAAACTTATGTTCTAGCTGGTATGCAGGAAGTCTCGGCAGGACACTGAGTTCCCTTAGAAAGGAAAACAAGTCAACCGAATCCGCTCCATATGGTGGGAGCATTGGCAATCTGCAGGCAGGCATGGTGGGATGGTCTAAGACAATGATTGAGAACCAGAGGGGACCAGGTTCAAGTCCTGCTTGGAAGCGGAAGGATGTTTTCCAGCCGTGCTGCGACCCACCGTTAGTTGGGAAATCGTGACCTGGCACGAGAAAACATGGATGCAGTGCATGGGATATTCGGTCTTTGACCACTTGCTGGTGAGCTGATCTACTCACCTCCCACAGCTTTAGGAGCTGCATCTGCGCCTTGATCCTTGAAGGGTGGTGGCGTTCCCGGAAAACTCCGCCTCTAGCAGAGTCACAGGCTGACGCGAACCGTGAATTTTTTGGGCAATCTGGTTGAGAAACTCAACAGGCACTGGTCGTGCATGTCCAAACGAGGGTTCGTGTCCAAACGAGGAACAACCATTAATCTTCACTTTGGCCTAATTATTGTAATTATCCTCTAATTATATGCATGTACATGTAATTATACTTCGGTACGCAGGTACAGACACAAGCGCAAGTATAGTACTGACAATATGTTTGTAATATTTGATTGTTTAAAGATTGGGATAATGGTCCCGTAACTAGTTACTGCTACACTACCAGTAACCACTGACACGAGAAATCTCAGCTCACAATCCTAACGAGTTAATCTAACAACAAAATAATACAGTATAATCACATCTTATGATCCACGTCTGATTACATGTAGACGCGAAACATTTGACTACGACTTTTGTCATCTCCGCATAATGATATGCTAGGCACGCAGGGCGAGGAGCAGGTATTGAGAAATATCTGTCACTACGTTTGAATCATAGACTACATTATATGTTTAGGTGTTTGTGGATTACGTTAGGGTGATGTTAGCATGGCAGACTGGAAGGGGGTGAAGGTGAGTGTGAACCGATAATTTGGTCTCAGTTCCCTACATTATCCATGATATGAGCGTGTAAACTCTACAACATACATGTACATGTAGTACATTAACAAAAGTTACTACAGATTTGACTGTACAAACACACGATATGTGTACGATGACAGTACAATCTACATGTACATGTACAGCCATGATACGAGTCGTAGGTCTACAGTATAATACAAAACTGGTAAACCAGTATTAGATAAACCTTGTTGTAGTTCACGGAATTGTTAGATTGACAGCATGAAACAAGGAGGAGGACACTGTGTTCGAAAACAGTGACCTTACTACAACCTTCCGGGAATGGTCCGCAGGGACCGGGGCTCTGCCAACCGCGGAAGGTTGTAGTAAGGTCACTGTTTTCGAACACAGTGTCCTCCACCTTGTTTCATGCTGTCAATCTAACAATTACATGTATGTACAGTCATCTAGATCTACATGTACATGTACATTGACATCAAGAGTACATGGGGTTACGTACTCTTGATGTCATGTATGACATGTCGTACATGTACATGTATGCTACAACGGGACGTGATGAAAACTTGGCCGTCTAGTTGCGATGGCAACAATGGCGTACATGTACTTAGTATTCCCCAAAGGCTGTTCGCTAAGTGATGTCCTGAAAGCATTACCAAGGGTATAATCTTCCAGTGATAGGTACAGTCAACTTCGCTTATAACGACACTCGGCGGGGCGTCAAAAAGGTGTCCTTATTCGCGAAGTGTCGTTATACCCGAAGTCTCATTATAATGTACCACAGTGGGATGGGACTTTGCTCTCTGGGCATGGCAATTCTGTCGTTATTCGCGAATTGTCGTTATATCCGCAGTCGTTATTAGCGAAGTTGACTGTAGATGGATAGATATACATGTATACAATCATGTACACTGTACATGTACACAAGGTGTCTTAAGTCCTTGTTGCAAATAGTGCTCAATACCTCAAAACGGGCAGAGCGTACTGCACACGGCAGAACAACAGAGACCAAAAATCTTTCTCGTAACTCCGAGTTTCGTGTTTCAAAAACACTCATCAGACTATAAAACAACATAATACTATTCGCCAGTACTACAGTAGGTCTCTGTTGTTCTGCCTCATGTATACATGTAGATAGAGAGCGATGAAGAGAGGGAGAGAGAGGCGGAGAGGGAGAGACAGGCAGAGAGAAAGAGGGAGAGAGTGAGAGAGAGAGAGAGAGAGAGAGAGAGAGAGAGAGAGAGAGAGAGAGAGAGAGAGAGAGAGAGAGAGAGAGAGAGAGAGAGAGAGAGAGAGAGGGGAGAGAGAGAGAGAGAGAGAGAGAGAGAGAGAGGGGAGAGA